AATGAAAATGACCTCAACCTACTTTAGAGGTCACAGAGGTCAACAACATTTTAATGGATTTGTTCTTGAGAACTAAAAGGAATGGATTCATAAGATTTGGCTGGTAGCTTTTTGGAATAGAGCTAACCAATTTGAGAAGGAAAATGACATTGACCTACTTACAAGATCACAGGGAAAAATATGTCAAGCAACTTCTGAAGAAGAATCAAAAAGCATAGAATCTTATTATAATATTTTGCTGGTAGTTTCAACAGATGGAGCCAACAAAGTTTGCGAGGGAAATATTTATAGTGCAATATAATATTTAATGAGAATATTTTGCTATGACTGCTAAAATATTCAGGTGAGCGATACAGGCCCTCTTGGGCCTGTTGTATAAGGTAAAACTACTGTGTTAACCATAATATAAGGTAAAACCACTGTATGTGTTAACCGTTGTATAAGGTAAAACTACTGTGTTAACCATAATATAAGGTAAAACCACTGTATGTGTTAACCATTATATCAGGTAAAACCACTGTATGTGTTAACCATTATATAAGGTAAAACCACTGTATGTGTTAACCATAATATTAGGTAAAACCACTCTATGTGTTAAACATTATATAAGGTAAAACCACTGTATGTGTTAACATTATATGAGTAAAACTACTTTATGTGTTAACCATTATATAAGGTAAAACCACTGTGCTAAACATAATATAAGGTAAAACCACTGTATGTGTTAACCATTATGTATGTGTTAACCATAATATTAGGTAAAACCACTCTATGTGTTAAACATTATATAAGGTAAAACCACTGTATGTGTTAGCCATAATATTAGGTAAAACCACTCTATGTGTTAAACATTATATAAGGTAAAACCACTGTATGTGTTAGCCATAATATTAGGTAAAACCACTCTATGTGTTAAACATTATATAAGGTAAAACCACTGTATGTGTTAACCATTATATCAGGTAAAACCATTGTATGTGTTAACCATTATATAAGGTAAAACTACTGTGTTAACCATAATATAAGGTAAAACCACTGTATGTGTTAACCATAATATTAGGTAAAACCACTCTATGTGTTAAACATTATATAAGGTAAAACCACTGTATGTGTTAACCATTATGTATGTGTTAACCATAATATTAGGTAAAACCACTCTATGTGTTAAACATTATATAAGGTAAAACCACTGTATGTGTTAACTATTATATAAGGTAAAACCACTGTATGTGTTAGCCATAATATTAGGTAAAACCACTCTATGTGTTAAACATTATATAAGGTAAAACCACTGTATGTGTTAGCTATTATATAAGGTAAAACCACTGTATGTGTTAACCATTATATCAGGTAAAACAACTGTATGTGTTAACCATTATATAAGGTAAAACCATTGTATGTGTTAACCATTATATAAGGTAAAACTACTGTGTTAACCATAATATAAGGTTAAACCACTGTATGTGTTAACCATTATATGAGTAAAACCACTGTATATGTTAACCATTATATAAGGTAAAACCACTGTATGTGTTAGCCATAATATTAGGTAAAACCACTCTATGTGTTAAACATTATATAAGGTAAAACCACTGTATGTGTTAAACATTATATAAGGTAAAACCACTGTATGTGTTAACTATTATAAAAGGTAAAACCACTGTATGTGTTAAACATTATATTAGGTAAAACCACTGTATGTGTTAACCATTATGTATGTGTTAACCATAATATTAGGTAAAACCACTATATGTGTTAAACATTATATAAGGTAAAACCACTGTATGTGTTAAACATTATATTAGGTAAAACCACTGTATGTGTTAACCATTATGTATGTGTTAACCATAATATTAGGTAAAACCACTATATGTGTTAAACATTATATAAGGTAAAACCACTGTATGTGTTAGCTATTATATAAGGTAAAACCACTGTATGTGTTAACCATAATATTAGATAAAACCACTCTATGTGTTAAACATTATATAAGGTAAAACCACTGTATGTGTTAGCCATAATATTAGGTAAAACCACTCTATGTGTTAAACATTATATAAGGTAAAACCACTGTATGTGTTAACTATTATAAAAGGTAAAACCACTGTATGTGTTAAACATTATATAAGGTAAAACCACTGTATGTGTTAACCATTATATGAGTAAAACCACTGTATGTGTTAACCATTATATTAGGTTAAACCATTGTATGTGTTAACCATAATATAAGGTAAAACCACTGTATGTGTTAACCATTATATAAGGTAAAACCACTGTGTTAACCATTATATAAGGTAAAACCACTGTATGTGTTAACATTATATGAGTAAAACCACTTTATGTGTTAACCATTATATAAGGTAAAACCACTGTATGTGTTAACTATTATATCAGGTTAAACCACTGTATGTGTTAACCATTATATTAGGTAAAACCACTGTATGTGTTAACCATCATATAAGGTAAAACCACTGTGTTAACCATTATATAATGTAAAACCACTGTATGTGTTAACCATTATATGAGTAAAACCACTGTATGTGTTAACCATTATATGAGTAAAACCACTGTATGTGTTAACCATTATATTAGGTTAAACCATTGTATGTGTTAACCATAATATAAGGTAAAACCACTGTATGTGTTAACCATCATATAAGGTAAAACCTCTGTGTTAACCATTATATAAGGTAAAACCACTGTATGTGTTAACCATTATATAAGGTAAAACCACTGTGTCCGTCGTCCGTCTGTCCGGCGTCAATTTTTAGCTCACCTGGCACGAAGTGCCAAGTGAGCTTATGCCGTGGTGCGGCGTCCGTCGTCCGTCCGTCCGTCCGTCCGTCCGTCCGTCCGTCCGTCGTCCATCCGTCGTCCGGCGTCAATATTTTACTTTAAACGACTTCTTCTTAATAACCGAAAGGCCTAGGGTGATGATATTTGGCCAGAAGCAAACTGGGATGAAGGGCTACCAAGTTTGTTCAAATAAATGACCTTCATCTATTTTCAAGGTCACAGGGGTCAAATATGTTAAAAACTTTAAACAACTTCTTCTGAATAACCAAAATGCCCAGGGTGATGATATTTGGCCAGTAGCATGCTGAGATGAAGGGCTACAAAGTTTGTTCAAATGAATGACCTTCACCCATATTCAAGGTCACAGGGGTCAAATATGTTAAAAACTTTAAACAACTTCTTCTGAATAACCAAAATGCCCAGGGTGATGATATTTGGCCAGTAGCATGCTGAGATGAAGGGCTACAAAGTTTGTTCAAATGAATGACCTTCACCCATATTCAAGGTCACAGGGGTCAAATATGTTAAAAACTTTAAACAACTTCTTCTGAATAACCAAAATGCCCAGGGTGATGATATTTGGCCAGTAGCATGCTGAGATGAAGGGCTACAAAGTTTGTTCAAATGAATGACCTTCACCCATATTCAAGGTCACAGGGGTCAAATATGTTAAAAACTTTAAACAACTTCTTCTGAATAACCAAAATGCCCAGGGTGATGATATTTGGCCAGTAGCATGCTGAGATGAAGGGCTACAAAGTTTGTTCAAATGAATGACCTTCACCCATATTCAAGGTCACAGGGGTCAAATATGTTAAAAACTTTAAACAACTTCTTCTCAATAACCAAAATGCCCAGGGTAATGATATTTGGCCAGTAGCATGCTGAGATAAAGGGCTACAAAGTTTGTTCAAATAAATGACCTTCACCCATATTCAAGGTCACAGGGGTCAAATATGTTAAAAACTTTAAACAACTTCTTCTGAATAACCAAAATGCCCTGGGTGATGATATTTAGTCAGTAGCATACTAGGATCAAGGGCTACCAAGTTTGTTTAAATGTATGACCTTGAATCATATTCAAGGTCACAAGGAGCAAATATGTTTAAAATATTTCAACAACTTGTTCTGAATAACCAAAAGGCTCAGGATGTTGATATTTAGTTAGTAGCATATGCTGGGATCAAGGACTACTATGTTTGTTAAAGTGAATGACTTTGACTTATATTCAAGGTCACAGGGGTCAAATTTGTTTAAAATCTTTAAACAACCTCTTATGAATAACCATGGGTCCCAGGATGTTTATACTTTGCAAGTTGCATCCTGAGATGAAAGGCTATACAATGTGTTCAACATAATGACTTTGTTCGACTTTCAATCGCAGGGGTGAAATGTTTTAAAAAAAAATAACCGGGTCTTTTGAACAAATTTTAATCATAAAAACTGATATTTTGCCTGTAGCTTTATTTTAGATCACTTTTAAGGTTACAAGTGTGAGTTTAAAACCAGGTGAGCGATGCAGGCCCATTGGGCCTCTTGTTTACTTTAAACAACTTCTTTTCAGTAACCAAAAGGCCTAGGATGATGATATTTGGCCAGTAGCATGCTGGAATCAAGGGCTACCAAGTTTGTTCAAATGAATGACCTTGACCCACTTTCAAGGTCACAGGGGTCAAATGACTTAAAATCTTCAAACGACTTCTTCTCAATAACCAAAAGGCCCAGGGTACAGATATTGGGCCTGTAGTATGCTGGGATGAAGGGCTACCAAGTTTGTTCAAATGAATGACCTTGACCCACTTTCAAGCTCACTGGGGTCAGATGTCTTAAAATCTTCAAACGACTTCTTCTCAATAAGCAAAAGGCTCATTATATAAGGTAAAACCACTGTATGTGTTAACCATTATATAAGGTAAGCCACTGTATGTGTTTAACCATTATATAAGGTAAAAACACTGTGTTAACCATAATATAAGGTAAAAACACTGTATGTGGTAACCATTATATAAGGTAAAACCACTGTATGTGTTAACCATTATATAAGGTAAAACCACTGTATGTGTTAACTATTATATCAGGTAAAACCACTGTATGTGTTAACCATTATATAAGGTAAAAACAATGTATGTGTTAACCATAATATTAGGTAAAACCACTGTATGTGTTAACCATTATATAAGGTAAAACCACTGTATGTGTTAACCATTATATAGGGTAAGCCACTGTATGTGTTAACCATTATATAAGGTAAAACCACTGTGTTCACCATTATATATATATAAGGTAAAACCCATTAAATTAACCATTATGTTTGTCTATAACCTTTGACAAGGAACTACACTTAAATATTCAATTTTACTACACACACTTGCCAACATTTTGAAATTTCTGAGGGGTTGAGATTCTGCGTATTCAAAAATAAAGCATAAATAAAATGAACATATGTAAAATGAAAACCTTTAAAATAGCATGTTTCCAGTTGTTCTTTCAGATGAAATATTAAATATGAGGGTCCAATATCGGGAGTTGGCAGTCTCCCTCCTATAAATAGGGAGAGTTGATAAGTAGGACTACAAAATGGATATGATTGCTGTAACACTACTGTTGATATGACCTTTCACCTTTATCATGTTTTGCTCTTAATTCCAAATTATTAGCTCTTCCAAGATGAAAGCCTATGTGCTTAAGGCATGGCATGTCATCCATCGGAGATCAATATTACTACTCTTTAAACTACCAGGTACTTCTTCTGAATGAACAGTAACACCAAAAGTCAAGATACTTGGTCTCTATCAAGTGAAGGGCTATCACTTTTATAAATAAGTCAGTCAGCTTGACTTGCATGAGTCACATTTAAGGTTAAATTCATATTTGTTTATGTTTGTTGCACAACACAACAATTATCATTAATTTTTAGCTCACCTGCCCGAAGGGCAAGTGAGCTTATGTTATGGTGCAGCATCCGTCGTCCGTCCGTCCGTCCGTCCGTCCGGCGTCCGTTGTCCGGCGTCCGTCCGGCGTCAACTTTGTGTTTTAAACAACTTCTTCTCAATAACCAAAAGGCCTAGGAAGATGATATTTGGCCAGTAGCATTCTGGGAGCAAGGGCTACCAAGTTTGTTCAAATAAATGACCTTGACCCACTTTCAAGGTCACAGGGGTCAAATATGTTAAAATCTTCAAACAACTTCTTCTCAATAACCAAAAGGCCCAGGGTACTGATATTGGGCCTGTAGCATGCTGGGATGAAGGGCTACCAAGTTTGTTCAAATAAATGACCTTGACCCACTTTCAAGGTCACAGGGGTCAAATGTCTTAAAATCTTCAAACAACTTCTTCTCAATAACCAAAAGGCCCAGGGTACTGATATTGGGCCTGTAGCATGCTGGGATGAAGGGCTACCAAGTTTGTTCAAATGAATGACCTTGACCCACTTTCAAGGTCACAGGGGTCAAATGTCTTAAAATCTTCAAACAACTTCTTCTCAATAACCAAAAGGCCCAGGGTACTGATATTGGGCCTGTAGCATGCTGGGATGAAGGGCTACCAAGTTTGTTCAAATGAATGACCTTGACCAACTTTCAAGGTCACAGGGGTCAAATGTCGTAAAATCTTCAAACAACTTCTTCTCAATAACCAAAAGGCCCAGGGTACTGATATTTTGCCTGTAGCATGCTGGGATGAAGGACTATCAAGTTTGTTCAACTGAATTACCTTGACCAACTTTCAAGGTCACAGGGTCAAATGTCGTAAAATCTTCAAGCGACTTCTTTTCAATAAGCAAAAGGGCCAGGGTACTGAAATTGGGCCTGTAGCATGCTGGGATGAAGGACTACCATGTTAGTTCAAATGAATGACCTTGATCCACTTTCAACCTAATGTCCTTGTTCAACAATCAAGGTCAGAGGTGTCATATGTTTAAATCTTTCAATAGGTTCTTATGAAATCTTAAGATTACAAATGTTAGATTAATAACAGGTGAGCCATGCAGGCCCATTGGGCCTCTTGTATATTTCTAAACTACACATTATCACAAGAGGGGTCATTAGGGCCAACAAACAGTCAATAAAACATGGTGATGGTTAAGGAAATGACATCAAACTAACAAAAAAGAAAACAGTATAAATGCCTGATTGAAAATGGCTTGTGTTAGCTATATCTTTTGGAACCGACTTGTTTAATGTTCCAGCTGACCTCCATACCTGGGCTAGAGAATGTTACTGCTCCAGCCAGTGGAGCACCACCACCAGATGCCCAACAAGCTCCTCAGCCGACCAGCCCTGGTGCTCCACAGGCTGCAGGCAACCAGCAAGACGTCCCTTCAGTAAGTATAGCTGGGACCTGTTAGATTACCATGGCCCACGCTGTCAGGAAGTATAGCTGGGACCCGTTAGATTACCATGGCCCGCGCTGTCAGTAAGTATAGCTGGGACCCATTAGATTACCAGGGACGCGCTGTCAGTAAGTATACCTGGGACCCGTTAGATTACCATGGCCCGCGATGTCAGTAAGTATAGCTAGGACCTGTTACATTACCAGGGACGCGCTGTCAGTAAGTACAGCTGGAACCTGTTAGATTACCAGGGGCCGTGCTGTCAGTAAGTGTAGCTGGAACCTGTTAGATTACCAGGGCCCACGCTGTCAGTAAGTATAGCTGGACCTGTTAGATTACCATGGCCTGCGCGGTCAGTAGATTTAGCTGGGACCTGTCAGATCACCAGGGCCTGCGCTGTCAGTAAGTATAGCTGGGACCTATTAGATTACCATGGCCTGCGCTGTCAGTAAGTATAGCTGGAACCTGTTAGATTACCAGAGACGCGCTGTCAGTAAGTATAGATTACCAGAGACGCGCTGTCAGTAAGTATAGCTAGGACCTGTTAAATTACCAGGGACTTGCTGTCAGTAAGAATAGCTGGGACCCGTTAGATTACCAGGGACGCGCTGTCAGTAAGTATACCTGGGACCCGTTAGATTACCATGGCCTGCGATGTCAGTAAGTATAGCTAGGACCTGTTACATTACCAGGGACGCGCTGTCAGTAAGTACAGCTGGAACCTGTTAGATTACCAGGGGCCGTGCTGTCAGTAAGTGTAGCTGGAACCTGTTAGATTACCATGGCACGGCTGTCAGTAAGTATAGCTGGACCTGTTAGATTACCAGGGCCTGCGCTGTCAGTAAGTATAGCTGGGACCTGTCTGATTACCAGGGCCCACACTGTCAGTAAGTTTAGCTGGGACCTGTTAGATTGCCAGGGTCCGCTCTGTCAGTAAGTATAGCTGGGACCTGTCAGATTACCAGGGCCCGCGCTGTCAGTAAGTATATCTGGGGCCTGTTAGATTACCAGGGACGTGCTGTCAGTAAGTATAGCCGGGACCTGTCAGATTACCAGGGCCCACACTGTCAGTAAGTATAGCTGGGACCTGTCAGATTCCCAGGGACGTGCTGTCAGTAAGTATAGCTGGGACCTGTCAGATTACCAGGGTCCGCTCTGTCAGTAAGTATAGCTGGGACCTGTATGATTACCAGGGCCCACACTGTCAGTAAGTTTAGCTGGGACCTGTTAGATTACCAGGGTCCCCTCTGTCACTAAGTTTAGCTGGGACCTGTCTGATTACCAGGGTCCGCTCTGTCAGTAAGTATAGCTGGGTCCTGTCAGATTACCAGGGCCCGCGCTGTAAGTAAGTATAGCTGGGACCTGTCTGATTACCAGGGCCCCCACTGTCAGTAAGTTTAGCTGTAAACCTGTCTGATTACCAGGGCCCGCGCTGTCAGTAAGTATATCTGGGACCTGTCTGATTACCAGGGTCCGCTCTGTCAGTAAGTATAACTGGGACCTGTCTGATTACCAGGGCCCCCACTGTCAGTAAGTTTAGCTGTAAACCTGTCTGATTACCAGGGCCCGCGCTGTCAGTAAGTATATCTGGGACCTGTCTGATTACCAGGGCCCACACTGTCAGTAAGTTTAGCTGGGACCTGTTAGATTACCAGGGTCCCCTCTGTCAGTAAGTTTAGCTGGGACCTGTCTGATTACCAGGGCCCCCACTGTCAGTAAGTATAGCCTGAACCTGTTAGATTACTAGGGCCCACACTGTCAGGATGTATAGCTGGGACCTGTCAGATTACCAGGGACGTGCTGTCAGTAAGTATAGCCTGAACCTGTTAGATTACTAGGGCCCACACTGTCAGCAAGATTAGCTGTAAACCTGTCTGATTACCAGGCCCCGCGCTGTCAGTAAGTATATCTGGGACCTGTCTGATTTCCAGGGCCCGCGCTGTCAGTGGAACCTGTTAGATTACCAGGGCCCGCGCTGTCAGTAAGTATAGCTGGGACCTGTTAGATTACCAGTGTCCGCTCTGTCAGTAAGTATAGCTTGAACCTGTTAGATTACCAGGGCCCCCACTGTCAGTAAGTATAGCTGGGACCTGTCTGATTACCAGGGCCCGCGCTGTCAGTAAGTATAGCTGGGACCTGTTAGATTACCAGGGTCCCCTCTGTCAGTAAGTATAGCTTGAACCTGTTAGATTTATTTCCATTGGAAGTTATTCAATTTGGGTTCGCATTATCAGTATTGGATAGCAGTTTGATGGTATGCATATATAAGCCCTGACTGACCCCCCAGGGCTGATGGGTGGGGCCAAAAAGGGTTGAATTGACTGAAATTTCAAAAAAAAAAACTTCTCAAAGAACCAGATATGGTAGAATCATACACTCTTCATAGATGGAAGGGTCTTAAGGTTTATGACCCTAGGGTCTCACGTTAACCCCCTGGGGAAGGAGGGGGGGGGGGNCTAGTTTCAAATACTTTTTAGTCTTAAATCTGTATGCTAGATATTGAATAAGGTGGTTTTATTGTTTTGTGTCACTAAATAATATTTCTGTTCGTGTTAAAAACAAAATCAACTCTCTGTATGAATATATCAGGTGACCGTTAAGGCTCATAGGCCTCTTGTTTCTTATAAGTTACAGCCAATCATCTGATAATCTTTTAAAAGATTATCACATTATTGATTAAATAACAAACATACTGTAAAATGAAATTTCACAGAGTACTTCTTTAACATCAGATTGAATAGTTTTGCATTTCAAATAACTATGAAATATTGAATGATTTTGATAGAAGGCCTATCTAGAGCTGTTTGAGGCCGAGAAAGTATGGTCACTGTTAAATAAAATGGCTACTAAAAATCACACTCGGCTACTTTTTTGGCTACTGATTTTTTAGGTTCTGGGTGAGTCATGGATTACCACTATCAGGTACCTATACATGTTAACTGATTTCAATTGTAAAAAAAGCATTTTTTCCCCACCATCTGATAATGGTTAGCTGTTCATATTGTCCTTCATCTGCGGTCCATTGTCCATCCATCCTTAAACAGATCTGATTAGTGCTATATTTCTGAAAGTACTGCAGGGGTCTTTCTCAAAGTTCACATATAGGTTCCCCATGGTCTTAATTAAGTTGTGCATTTTGAATTTTGTAACTGGTTCCCCATAGTCCATAGTTAATGCATAATTAATCAGGGGATTTGTCAGAAATCCAAGATGGCCAAAAGGGTGGCCATCTTTTAATTTAGCTGTGCATGTGTAATCTTAGAACTAATAAAAAAACAAGATGGCTGCCTAACTAATAAAAAAAACAAGATGGCCACCAGACAGCCATCTTTCATTTTGGAAGTTTAAGACTATCCCTATATTTCAAGAATTCCCAACAGCACTTTCTGAAATTTCATATGAAGTTCCCATAAATCCTTAGTTTTGTATGTTTTTATTTCAAACATTTAAAGTTTATCACTTGGATGTTGTTTAGCATACATAACATGGGAAATATTGGTGCTTTGAGTGTTTGGTTTATATTAGTATTTGTGTGTTGACAGCCACCAGAGGCCGAGGAAACTGCCCCACCCCCACCTGAAGAAGAGAAAACAGACAACCCAGTATCTAAGGACCCTCGCTATGCGAAGTACTTCAAGATGCTGCAAGTGGTAAGAAAAATGTGAAATGATAGATTACACAATTTTCTGAGATATAAATTTGAGTGAAATGTTAGACTGACATGTTGAGTGAAATGTTAGATATACATGTTGATTGGGATGTTAGATATACGTTTTCAGAGAAATGTGAATCACAAATTATCCTTGTTTAAATTAAGCAAAGGAAGGTAAGATTGGGATTTTTAATATGAACGGATTCAGAATGATACAATGTAAACCTTAGTTTCAGGTGAATATAGATAAATGTAGATACTTTCTTATTCTTTGTTATAATTGATCCAGAGCCAGAGATGAATATTAAGCAGAGGCTGAATAGCTCCATGCTCCTGTAGTTTGACTGCCAGGAACATTGATTATGTAGTGTTTGTAACAGATTCGTAATGGATATTTTACTTGTCATAGGGAGTGCCGGAAGCAGCAGTCAGACCAAAAATGAAAATGGAGGGGCTGGACCCGAACTTATTGAGGTGATTATAAACTGCTGTCATTTAACTCTTTTCATACTGTTGTCGTGTACAAATGACAAAAATAGAGGCTCCTGGTCCCTGTTGTCGTGTACAAATGACAAAAATAGATGCTACTGGTCCCTGTTGTCATGTACAAATGACAAAAATAGAGGCTCCTGGTCCCTGTTGTCATGTACAAATGACAAAAATAGAGGCTCCTGGTCCCTGTTGTCATGTACAAATGACCAAAATTGAGGCTCCTGGTCCCTGTTGTCGTGTACAAATGACAAAAATAGAGGCTCCTGGGCCCTGTTGTCATGTACAAATGACAAAAATAGAGGCTCCTGGTCCCTGTTGTCCTGTACACAGGACAAGAAACTTTGGTGTTACCCGAGTCCTGATTAGCTGTTCATAGAACACGACAGTTGTGTAATCCAATTGATTAACGCTAAAAAGTTGATAAAAAAGATTTTCTTTGGTGCAGGGTAAACATTTTTGTGATGTTACCAAGATGTTGAGGTTGGTAATCAACAATATATACAATGTGGCGGGAATGGCATTGGATACAAACGTCTTTTAACTCATCACCAAATATTTATCAAGAATTATGCAAGTTATTATCGATATTTCACTATAAATCACTATTAAATCTACTTGTATATATAGAAAACTAAACGACTTCGTAACCAAAATCAATCCCAATTACAGCGTTGCATTTTGAAGGCAATGAATCACATCGTTCATTGCCGAACACAAGCCAATTTCTCAGTCATAATTAGCTGTCAGCTAGTCACAAATGCTGCAAAAATAAAGATCAGTATATCTATTAACAACCACATACAACGATAACAACATTGGTTTAGGGTTACCTGTTTATTTTCTTATGGAGTTGGGGCTCATCTGAAAAATACATTGGAAATCTGCCATTTCATTTCATGTACAGGGGCGTGTCTAGTAACGATACCCGGTACGGATTCCTGACCGGAGTTGCAGTATGAAAAGAGATAATAATATGATATATTGATTTCCCGAGATGTCTTTTCTTCGCTTACAATCTAAGAATGTTATATATATTGATTAGCTAAGGTCAATATCATCTTTATATATTGATTTGCATAGATGAGTCATCTCCAGTTATATTGATTTATGTGTTATCACTTAAAAACTTCTGACCATTAAATGACATGATGTTTTACATTATTAGCTCACCTGGCCCTAATGCCGTGGTGCGGCGTCCGTCGTCCATCCGTCTGGCGTCCGGTGTCAATATTTTACTTTAAACAACTTCTTCTGAATAACCAAAAGGCCTCGGGTGATGATATTTAGCCAGTAGCATGCTGGGATGAAGTGCTACCAAGTTTGTTCAAATGAATGACCTTGACAAACTTTCAAGGTCACAGGGGTCAAATGACTTAAAATCTTCAAACAACTTCTTCTCAACAACTAAAAGGCCCAGGGTACTGATATTGGGCCTGTAGCAATGCTGGGATGAAGGGCTACCAAGTTTGTTCAAATGAATGACCTTGACCCACTTTCAAGGTCACAGGGGTCAAATGACTTAAAATCTTCAAACAACTTCTTCTCAACAACTAAAAGGCCCAGGGTACTGATAATGGGCCTGTAGCATGCTGGGTTGAAGGGCTACCAAGTTTGTTGAAATGAATGACCTTGACTAACTGAAAGGTCACAGGGGTCAAATGTCGTAAAATCTTCAAACGACTTCTTCTCAATAACCAAAGGCCCAGGGTACTGATATTGGGCCAGTAACATGCTGGGATGAAGGGCTACATAGTTTGTTCAAATAAATGACCTTGACTTATATTCAAGGTTACAGGGGTCAAATATGTTAAAATCTTTAAAACAACTTCTGAAAGATAACAAAGAGGTCTAGGGTGATGATATTTGGCTAGTAACATGCTGAAATGAAGGGCTACCAACTTTATTCAAATAAAAGACCTTGACTTATATTCAAGGTCACAGGGGTCAAATATGTTTAAACCTTTAAACAACTTCTTTTGAATAACCAACAGGCCTAGGGTGATGATATTTGGCCAGTAACATGATGGGTTGAAGGGCTACAAAGTTTGTTCAAATAAATGACCTTGATTTATATTCCGGGTCAAATATGTTTAAACCTTTAAACAACTTCTTCTGAATAACCAAGATGCCTAGGGTAATGATAGTTGGCTAGTAACATGCTGAAATGAAGGGCTACCAACTTTATTCAAATAAAAGACCTTGACTTATATTCAAGGTCACAGGGGTCAAATATGTTTTAACCTTTAAACAACTTCTTCTGAATAACCGAGAGGGCTAGGGTGATGATATTTGGCCAGTAACATGATGGGTTGAAGGGCTACAAAGTTTGTTCAAATAAATGACCTTGATTTATATTCCGGGTCAAATATGTTTAAACCTTTAAACAACTTCTTCTGAATAACCAAGATGCCTAGGGTAATGATAGTTGGCTAGTAACATGCTGAAATGAAGGGCTACCAACTTTATTCAAATAAATGACCTTGACTTATATTCAAGGTCACTGGGGTCAAATATGTTTATAACTTTTAAACAACTTCTGAATAACCAAGAGGCCTAGGGTTATGATAGTTAGCAAGTAACATGCTGAAATGAAGGGCTACCAAGGTCAAAGGAGTTAATTGTCTTCAAAACCTTTAAACAACTTCTTTTGTATAACCAAAGGGTCCAGGGTGATGATATTTGGCCAGAAGGATGTTGGCATGAAGAGCTATGAAGTTTGTTCAAATGAATGACTGTCGTTCATATTCTAGGTCACAGGGGTCAATTGTCTTGAAAACCTTTAAACGACTTCTTCTGTATATTCAAAAGGTCCAGGGTGATGATATTTGGCCAGAAGGATGTTGGGATGAAGGGCTACCAAATTTGTTCAAATGAATGACCTTCATCCATATTCAAGGTCACAGGGGTCAATTGTCTTGAAAAGCTTTAAACGACTTCTTCTGACTAACCAAAAGGTCCAGGGTGATGATATTTGGCCAGAAGGATGTTGGGATGTGTGTTTTAATCGTTTAACAGGTGCTTCTGAATGACTTGAAGACAAGACACTGTAGCTTTATTTTAGTCCACCTTTAAGGTTACAATTGTGAGATTAATACCGGCCCATTGGGTCTCTTTTATAATTATAACAAAAAAAATATTACTTCTTATAAAAAGTGATGGAATAAGTAGCCTACTATATATATGACACCATGTCATAATGCCATCATGCTTGATAACAAGGCTTTGTAATATTTTTATGATTGGGCTACTGGATTCAATTGTTTTTGTTTCTCTGCTATTGTCTGACAATATTTGCTTAGGCCTCTTTCTGAAATGTTGGAAGTTCCAGCCTGGATAACCTTTACAAGCTGTATTTTGATACCTTGTAAGGTGTATGTGTCCTTGTTTGTCTGTTTTAGTGGTCTATTGTGTAATACATTTTGTCCACCAATAAATTCTTTTAATCATTCAGACCTTGATAGTTATGACAGTGAAAACAATTTTGTGACAGTATAAATCCTTTGTTAACTGTATATAAAATTCTAATGTTGTACAGCACACCTGATGCCCCAGCACCAGCCATGTCTGCCCGTAAGAAAGATGACAGCGACGATGATGATGACGACTTTAGTGATGAAAGTGAAAGTGATAGTTTCAGTGAATAAACATTAGCAGCATATATTGTGATAATTCATTCTAAAGTCATTCCAAGATCGCAGTGTTTGTCAGTGTCTCTACTTAACACTGGTGACACAGCAGTGGTTGTTGATGAAGAGACTCTTTAGTGTTTCTACCTACCACTGGAGACACAGCAGTGTTTGATGATGGAGAGACTCTTCAGTGTCTCTACCTACCACTGGGGACACAGCAGTGTTTGTTGATGGCGAGACACCAGTGTCTCTACCTACCTCTAAAGACACAGCAGTGTTTCTCAGTGTCTCTACCTACCATTGGAGACACAGCAGTGTTTGTTGATGTAGAGACACCAGTGTCTCTACCTACCTCTAGCGACACAGCAGTGTTTGTCAGTGTCTCTACCTACCATTGGAGACACAGCAGTGTTTGTTGATGTAGAGACACCAGTGTCTCTACCTACCTCTAAAGACACAGCAGTGTTTGTCAGGGTCTCTACCTACCACTGGAGACACAGCAATGTTTGTCAGTGTCTCTCCCTACCACTTGAGACACAGCAGTGTTTGTTGATGTAGAGACACCAGTGTCTCTACCTACCTCTAAAGACACAGCAGTGTTTCTCAGTGTCTCTACCTACCACTGGAGACACAGCAGCGTTTGTTGATGGAGAGACTCTTCAATGTCTCTACCTACCGCTGGGGACACAGCAGTGTTTGTTGAGGGAGAGCCCCCAGTGTCTCTCCCTACCTCTAGAGACACAGCAGTGTTTTTCAGTGTCTCTCCCTACCACTGGGGACACAGCAGTGTTTGTTGATGGAGATACACCAGTGTCTCTACCTTCCACTGGAGACACAGCAGTGTTTGTTGATGGAGCGACTCTTCAATGTCTCTACCTACCACTGGGGACACAGCAGTGTTTGTTGATGGCGAGACACCAGTGTCTCTACCTACCTCTAAAGACACAGCAGTGTTTCTCAGTGTCTCTACCTACCATTGGAGACACAGCTAGAGACACAGCAGTGTTTTTCAGTGTCTCTACCTACCACTGGAGACACAGCAATGTTTGCCAGTGTCTCTACCTACCACTTGAGACACAGCAGTGTTTGTTGATGTAGAGACACCAGTGTCTCTACCTACCTCTAAAGACACAGCAGTGTTTGTCAGGGTCTCTACCTACCATTGGAGACACAGCAGTGTTTGTTGATGGAGAGCCCCCAGTGTCTCTACCTACCTCTAGAGACACAGCAGTGTTTGTCAGTGTCTCTACCTACCATTAGAGACACAGCAGTGTTTGTTGATGGAGAGACCCCAGTGTCTCTCCCTACCTCTAGAGACACAGCAGTGTTTGTCAGGGTCTCTACCTACCACTGGAGACACAGCAATGTTTGTCAGTGTCTCTACCTACCACTTGAGACACAGCAGTGTTTGTTGATGGAGAGACACCAGTGTCTCTACCTACCTCTAAAGACACAGCAGTGTTTGTCAGTGTCTCTACCTACCATTGGAGACACAGCAGTGTTTGTTGATGGAGAGACTCTTCAGTGTCTCTAATGTCTCAACCTGTTAGTGGAGGCACATCATTGTCGCAACCTATCAGTTGAGATAGGCAGATAACATTGCCTCAGCCTGCCGTGGAGATAGCAATGTCATAACCTGTTAGTGGAGGCACATCATTGTCTCAACCCATCAGTTGAGATAGGCAGATAGCATTGTCTCAGCCTGCCGTGGAGAGAGCATTGTCTCATCCTGCCGTGGAGATAGCAATGTCTCAACCTGTAAGTGGATGCACATCACTGTCGCAACCTATCAGTTGAGATAGGCAGATAGCATTGCCTCAGCCTGCCGTGGAGATAGCAATGTCTCAACCTGTTAGTGGAGGCACATCATTGTCTCAACCTATCAGTTGAGATAGGCAGATAACATTGTCACAGCCTGCCGTGGAGATAGCAATGTCTCAACCTGTTAGTGGAGGCCCATCATTGCTGCAACCTATCAGTTGAGATAGGCAGATAGCATTGTCTCAGCCTGCCGTGGAGATAGCATTGTCTCAGCCTGCCGTGGAGATAGCAATGTCTCAACCTGTAAGTGGATGCACATCATTGTCGCAACCTATCAGTTGAGATAGGCAGATAGCATTGTCTCAGCCTGCCGTGGAGATAGCAATGTCTCAACCTGTTAGTGGAGGCACATCATTGCCGCAACCTATCAGTTGAGATAGCATTGTCTTAGCCTGCCGTCAACCTGTCAACAGAAACACAATGTCTCAACCTCTCAATAAAAGCACAATGTTGACCTGTCAGTTGGGGTACTGTTCTCTAATGGAGGTGAAGCAATATTTTTTCCTGTCAGTGGAGTCTTTGTCTCAACCTGCCAGTGGAGGTTATTTTTATGGCGTTAACATGTCAGTTGAGACACAGCATTGTCTTACCTTGTGTGTTTAGATTTATCTCATCCTGTCAGAATGTGATGAAATACAAATGAATTAAATGGGAGACTAGCCTATAAATGTTTGGATACAGAAACTGAATGAATGTTATTTATATTTTTAAGTATCTAATTTGTAAATAAAATGTAGGAAGTCCAAAATATGAAGTCGAAAATGTTTTTTTATGTATCAATCATGGAATAAGATACAAGTCTGTGGTCGTATGAATGCTGTAAATGTGCAGTACAGAAGGTTTATCTGGTAAAGTGTAAAACACGTTCCTCTGGTACAGGTCCTGAACTGATAACAGAACATGTAGATTAGGTAAGAATAGATATGTTGCATTCATATCGACTTGCTAGTGTTCTTTCTGGTGGTAAACGATATCCACTCAATCATATGTATCTTCACACGACATTGTCATTGCCGGAGATCTCAACTGCGACCTAACCTAGAAAAAACAATCTAACAGAAAAAACAACCTACACAACTTTATGGATGGTTGCGGTTACAGCACCAATGCGACAGACTACACATTAATCTGCAACACTTTATGGATGAATGTGGCTACAGCACCAATGCGACAGACTACACATTAATCTACAACACTTTATGGATGAATATGGCTACAGCACCAATGTGACAGACTACACATTAATCTACACAATTTTATGGATGAATGTGGCTACAGCACCAATGCGACAGACTACACATTAATCTACACAATTTTATGGATGAATATGGCTACAGCACCAATGTGACAGACTACACATTAATCTACAACACTTTATGGATGAATGTGGCTACAGCACCAATGTGACAGACTACACATTAATCTACAACACTTTATGGATGAATATGGCTACAGCACCAATGTGACAGACTACACATTAATCTACAACACTTTATGGATGAATGTGGCTACAGCACCAATGTGACAGACTACACATTAATCTACAACACTTTATGGATGAATATGGCTACAGCACCAATGTGACAGACTACACATTAATCTACAACACTTTATGGATGAATATGGCTACAGCACCAATGTGACAGACTACACATTAATCTACAACACTTTATGGATGAATGTGGCTACAGCACCAATGTGACAGACTACACATTAATCTACAACACTTTATGGATGAATGTGGCTACAGCACCAATGTGACAGACTACACATTAATCTACAACACTTTATGGATGAATGTGGCTACAGCACCAATGTGACAGACTACACATTAATCTACAACACTTTATGGATGAATGTGGCTACAGCACCTATGCAACAGACTACACATTAATCTACACAATTTTATGGATGAATGTGGCTACAGCACCTATGCGACAGACTACACATTAATCTACACAATTTTATGGATGAATGTGGCTACAGCACCTATGCGACAGACTACACATTAATCTACACAATTTTATGGATGAATGTGGCTACAGCACCAATGCGACAGACTACACATTAATCTACACAATTTTATGGATGAATATGGCTACAGCACCAATGCGACAGACTACACATTTATCTACAACACTTTACGGATGAATATGGCTACAGCACCAATGCGACAGACTACACATTAATCTACACATTTTTATGGATGAATATGGCTACAGCACCAATGCGACAGACTACACATTAATCTACAACACTTTATGGATGAATATGGCTACAGCACCAATGCGACAGACTACACATTAATCTACAACACTTTATTGATGAATGTGGCTACAGCACCAATGCGACAGACTACACATTTGAGCATCCGCATGGGAAGGTTCGGTCTACATTCGACTACATCCTATTCCATACAACATTGTTAGAACTCTAAGGAGCGCCTACTGTCGCATGCTTTAATGAATTGTAAACAATGCGAGTAAACATGTCTTAGTTTACTGTTTAGATTTTGAATCACAACAATTTATCATAGACTTCCAAATATTAAAGTATACATCGATAGGAAAGTATACATAATTTTAGATATACACCCACAACCTACAGATATGTAAAATACTAGCTACACAATCATGCATCTCAAGTTCTATTTCAGAAGACAATGGCTAAAAAAGACTATCAGTATCCTCAATAAGGTTATCACATCCAGATGAATGATGCAGTTAACATATTCAGAGCTTGAAATGTACATAATGACATATAGATGTTTCAATGTAAATGTGACACAGAAAGTGTTTCCTTTCTTTTCTTCCACAATCTTCCACAAAGAGACATAAGACATGATGCATTTAAATGTTTCTTTTCAATTAATTTCTAAAACATTATTGCTTATCTTGTATATTGTAACTTTCATGATTTCTGAAAGACTATTCTTAAAACAGGATATTAAGTCTTGATTTTACTTCACTATTTGAGTAAGTATTAACTGGATGTAGACTGCAATTCCAATATTTGTCGATTAATAGTATACCAATACAGTATTCTGTATATAAAGTGTAAGTACCTCTTGTTATAGCTTTTACACTGTAATTGACTTCAATCTTGAATCCTCTTTCTCACAACAGTGCATTTTCTTTATTTTTTCCCCCATTGTAATATTTTACTTTCAAATTGATAAGAATTGTATACCATAACAACATTTGTATGATACCACCACTCCATCACTACAGCAATTCTGATACAAAAATAAATATGAAAACAGTATAAATGTTACATATTTATATAAGATATATAGTTGAAAAATGTGACATTTTCAATAAAATGAGGAAGAAAATGCAGAGGTAAGATATTTTTTTAACTCCTGTGTTTAAAGTTCAATAAAACATCTTGTACTTTGAAAACTCTTCACATTTGATTTTTTCAACTCTTTGGAATTCTTTTGCAGGCTTTTAAAAATAAAAACGTTGTTTGAACCTGACTGCTTTCCCATAACATTTATATATGAGCAAAAAATATTATTAGGATGTATTTATAGACCTGAATCAAATGTTGAGTATTGGGATAAATTAGACCATGATAATGCATGTAACACATCACTTAACATCATAATAACTGGGGATATAAATGTAAATATGTTGAATATACCTACTAACCACCATTTAAATAGACTAATGGTAAAATATAACTTTACAAATCTTATTAATAAGCCTACCAGGATAACACAAACTACTGCCACTGCTATTGGTATTTTATTCACTAATAATATTAATCTTATAAAACATTATACAGTGAATACACCAATTTGCAGTGATCACTCTGTTATTCATTTACCTGTTCATATTCTGTATTTAAGCAAAAATCCTACCAGAAAACTATACTAAACTATGACAATGAAGATTTTGACGAAATGAATAGAGCTCTAAATGAAATAAATTGGGAAATACTAATAAATACACTTGACTCGAATGAGTTTAATAATTTTTTAACAGATTCTATTAATAATCATATAGAAGAATGTATACCATCCAATTTTATAACTGTTTGTCCTAATGATAAACCTTGGATGAGGAATATTATAAGGCAAAAAATTATACAGAGAAATAGATTACATAAAAAAAGCTGTAAATAACAACACTGCTAATTGGGAAAATTTCAGAAAGGCTAGAAATGAAGAAGTAGACCTTGTTAGAGAAGCTAAAAACACTTATTACGAAAAATTACAACAATCGCTTAGTGACCAGTCTGTGCCTCCTAATAAGTGGTGGAAAATTGATAGATCTGTCATGAATTCAAATAATGCATCAAATTGTCTTCCTCCTCTTTCTGAAAATAATAACTTAATACATCATTCATTTGAAAAAGCAGAATGTCTAAACAACTACTTCAGCTTCATATCAACTTCTTCTGAAAATCTTGAACCCCTTACCCCCCCATGAAAATACTTTTCCCTTCCTTCTAGACAATATCATCATATCTGAAGAGGACATTAAAGATCAACTGTGTTTACTTAATGATTAAAAACCTCCTGGCCCAGATGGCATTATACCCAAGATTCTAAAGAAATTAGCACCTTCTCTAATATGTCATCTAACTTTACTTTGTAATAAGACTATTGCATCTGGTATTATACCTCTTTCTTGGAAAACAGCTAATATTAATGCAATATACAAAGGTAAGGGAGCTCAAAATGATGTCTCTAACTATAGGCCAATATCTATTACATCAGGTTTTAGAAAATTGTTGAAAAAGTTATTTTTAAATATATGTTTAATTATATGAAAGAATGTGATATCATAACAAAACACCAATCAGGCTTCTTACCAAGAGACTGGACTGTAAACCAGTTATTATCTATATATGACACTATTGTAAATAACTTGGATCAAAATAATGGAATCAGATTTGTTTTTTGTGATGTAAGGCGTTTGATAGAGTTTGGCATGAGAGAATCGTATGGCCTAAAAGGGAAAGTATTACAATGGTTTAGTAATTACCTTTCTGATAGAAAGCAGAGAGCATTAACAGAGGGGTTTTATTCAACTTTTAAGCATGTCAAAGCCGGTGTACCCCAAGGCTCGGTCCTTGGTCCATTTCTTTTCTTAATCTATATTAATGATATAACAGAATGTGTAACCCGTAAAATTAAACTTTTTGCAGATGATACTTCTCTCTATGAAGTAATAGACAACAATCAAAATGAAATTGCAGTGAAATTAAATAATGATCTAGGTAATATTAATGCATGGGCAAAAATAATGGGATATCAAATTTAATTCACTAAAAACTGAATCTATAATCTTCTCGAGGAAAAGGGAACTAAATCATCCAGGGATCTTATTTGGTAATGAAACTGTAACTAACAAACAAACTCATAAGCATCTTGGTTTAACTTAGTGATGGAATATGGACATATCATATTGACAATATTTATGAGCTAGCTTATAAAAGAATGAATATATTGAGAATGTTAAAACACAAATTGGATAGAAAAGTCTTATAACAATATATACCTCTTTTATTAGACAAATACTTGAATATGGGGATGTAGTATGGGATAACTTGATTAACCAAAATAAAAATATTCTTGAGTCAATCCAGCTAGAGGCATTAATAATTATTACAGGATTGCGTAGAGGGACCTCTCATCGTAAGCTTTATGCAGAAACTGGACTTGAATCACTTTGTTGTAGGCGAAAAAATCATTAATTAGCACCTATGTTCAAAATTTAAATAATGAATCCCCAAAGTACTTAGAAGACATCATTGAAC